CCCTCCAGCCCCTGCCCGCGTCAGCAGAGCGCAACAGACGCCCGCCCCGCCAGCCCCGCCAGCCCTGGCTCTGATCTTCCCCGCCGCGGTCCCAGCCGCCCAGCCGAGCAAAGCATAAGCACCGCCCGCGCTACTTCTTCACGACTTAAACGAGCGCTCAGAGTGGAGTAATAAATGTAACACATTATTGACTTCCCCGTGCGCACGCCGTGGCAACGCTTGGCTAAAAAATGCCACACCTCTTGATTATTGTTTTGTATTGAAACCTACCGACTAACGAGAGTGCGATGGTGTATGTACGTGTACAATATATTTTGAAAATGGTTAATTACAAAATATAATGTGCATATAAAAACACATTACAGTAAACGACCAACTCTTTCGCACGAATTTGATTCTAATAATAGATATTATTGTACGTTAGAAGTTTGTACAAACTACTCAATACTTTTGCCGCCTTGCGAAAAAGAATTTCTAGTTCGCACAAGCAAAATTTAGGGAGAGAGAGAGAGAGAGAGAGAGAGAGAGAGAGAGAGAGAGAGAGAGAGAGAGCAGACGAGGGTTCGCGACACTGTGCGCCAGTGCAGCGCGAGCCTCTGCACTAGAGTGCAACCACGTGCCGGGGCCGCGACGCCTACCTGCTCGCCTCGCACGTGCAGGTGCACGTGCACAGACTCTCAGGCCCGGCGACGGCGCCGACAGCACAAACTTGATGAGCCGAGCGGAGCAAAGCAGAGCGGGCAGAGCGGGTAGAGAGAGAGAGAGAAAGGAGAAAGCGGGCAGAGAGAGCAGAGAGCAGGCAGAGCGCCTGCAGTCGGGCGGGTGGGCACACCCGCGGCACCGCGCACCACGGCGTGCTGCCTACCCGGACCCTGGCGGGCGCGCTGTGGACCCCGCCTCGCCCCGCCCCGGCCCGCCCCGGTCCAGCAGCCCAAAGCGGAGACAACTTTTACCGATAAAACGCGTAGAGACGGAATAGATGAGCCCAACTTGGAGCGATGGAACTATAACACGTTCGAGTTGTTTTGACGCGCGGGCGGGCGGTCGGGCGGGCGGCGGGATCCTGATAACGGAGCAAGGTTGGGGTGCGCGCTGCACCTAAAAGCGCCGCCCGGGGGAGACGGGGGGAGGAGGAGGAGCAAGAGGGAGGCGCAAAGAAGTAGAAATAGTAGGTCAGCAGAGGGCTTTGAGTCACCTCCTCGGGCGAAAGGGCAGAGGGATCACGTGGAACGGGAGTTGCATCACCAGGACAGGAGGGAGGGCCTCGTTGGCGGCGGCAACGGCCTCGGCACAATAAGACAAGCCCCAGCCAGCCCTACCACCCGGCTCAATGAAACTGGACGAGGCGCCATCGGAGGGAACGCCTTCCGGGTGTGGAGGCCTCCGCCGCCGCTGTTGCTTTTGCCCCGGCATGGCCTGCTCTCCCTTCACGATGTCGCAGGCGTGGCGTGGCGCGGCGGGGCGGGGCGGG